AGTTTATTACGAATATATTAATATTCTGTATAGACCAGACAATGAATATCCGTTTTATTAATTTTCATTTTTGTTTTAAATGGAAATAATTATCACGAATTATTTATTAATCTCTATTTTATCCTTAATTCAATTTCTTAAATTTAAGTATTAATTCAAAGTTAATTTGGAACAGAAAAGAAATGGTTGAAAATTTTCATTCGATCCTTGATCCTATGATCAAAGAATCTGTTCAAAAATTCGCGAGAAATACACTTTCGTTCGAGCTCGTCCCAAGAGAACAGTTACCCATATTAATGGAAGTCATAAAGTTATCATATTGTTCCATGAAAATTGCAATTCCTCGTACATATATCGTATATATATATGTGTGTGTGTTCCAGTCCCGTCTCTTCGTCCCCTTGTATCAAATCAACTATGAGGACGACTGGTAAAAATGGGAGAAAAAATTATTCGTGAACGAGCAAAATTAAAATGGACACAGTTCGGGGGTGGAATTTTCCATCGTTAATTTCTACCGTACTAAAATCGTTCCTTGAAATTCGTTACTGTTCGCAGTTATCCTACACATTTTCAATCTTTTTCCCCCTCCTTTCTTTTTTTTTTTTTTATATATCTTCTTTTTCCCCTCTTATTCAGTACCATCGTTACATTTTCAATCCTCTCGTTCATTTCGTATCGGATATTTTTCCCCGAGGAAAAATGTACCTGGCATAACAGTCTGTAATGATAATAGCGAGACCACGATCCTGTCAATTGCAGCACTCGAGAAGAGACGATTTTTTTTTATCTTCTCTCTCTTTTTTTTCTTCTTTTTCTTTTTTTTTATTTCAATCGACGATTGAAATCGAATTGGTCGTCCACTATTTTCTATTACGAAATGTATCTCTTCTTCATCGATGCGTTCTGACAGATATATATACGTAAACTCGAGGGATTAGAGTTGAGTTGAAGGAAAATATATTCGATGAGATGTAAGATTAATTTAATGATTTAATTTTTTCGCTGCAAAGGAATAAAAATTTCCGTTAAAAAAATACCATTTTTTGGAATATAATAGAAATAAATCTAACGTATATAAGCAAACTGGGTTTAATCTAACAAAATTCCTATTAATCTCGCATAATCATTCATTAGATTAAATATTTAAAAACTTTTTTTTAATGAAAATAAAAATTCGAAAGTTCTTATACCCAGTTTTCTTATGAAGAACTTCTAGCGTACTTAGATGGAACTTAGTGACTCGCAATACAATAATGGGCCGTTGCTAAAAATAAATAAAAATCTATAACAATTAAACACAACTACAATTCTCCTACACAATTCGACAGAAAAAAATAAAAAGAATGTCATTCTTGAAGGATTTTTCTTAATAAGCAACGTTCAATCAACCCATCTTGGTACGTTAGAGATAAACGAGAATGAAATTTCAACCAAGGAAATAACATGTCTAATAAGAAAAGAACAGTGCATGAACTGTCTTTAAGCGCCATTTTGTTTCTCTTTGCTCGATCGAGTGGAAAGAAGATTGAAAAAGGGACTTTGTTTCGCGAATATGATCCAACAGTATGAAGGATTCGCGGTATTCACGTGTAATTTCCGGCGATTGTACGTATTAATTACGATCTGTATACACATGTATATGTACAAACGTATATATATATATAGTATATATAAGTATTATATGTATATGAAAAAAATCTAGAGAGAAAGAGAGTGAGAGCGAGAGAGAAAGAGAGAAAGAGAGAGAGAGAGAGAGTTAACATTCTCACACACAAACACACACGTGCAAGAATTATGTGTGCTAGCATAGTGCCTAATATACTATATAATATATATATATACATTCGTATTTATAACGAGGGGGTTGAACGTGTTACCGTTTTTTCCCCTTTGGAAAAAAAAAATCTTACACTTATTGTAAATATGAGTATGGAAATATATATGTGAATGTTTAAGGAATACAATACCAAATGAATCTGCCAGAAGAGAAGCCACCATCAAATTGTTCCCACTCCTATGAGAGTCGCGATTTTATATGGAGATTCTCGTAATGGACCGTAATGGGAGATAAAGTGGACTTTAAAAGTTCCTGGAATTAAAAAAGGGAATTAGAATAAGAATTAAAACAAGGATATAAATGAGAAGTCGAGAATATTATTATTATTCTGAGGGACTTAACCTCTTGATGCAATGATTGTTCGGGTTTTACGGGTTAAAGACAGACAATTTTTATTTTATAAAAATTAAATTCTAATACGATAATGGACGGTGTATGTTTCGCGATATCTTATCTTAAAGAAGATTGCAAACAAAAGTCGTCATTACGAGTGCAACAAATTGTATGGGAATGGGAATTGGGAATTTGGTCTCGAGAATAATTGTTTATAAATTTGTTTTATATATTTTACTTAAAGAGGATTACAAATGGAGATTGTTGTCGGTTGGAATGTGAGGAAGGAAATATGATAACGAGAATATTCGTAGCGAAATAATGCACTCGAAGGAAATAAAGCTGTCTGATTATTAAACTTATTAAATTCTTGATGAAAACGGAAACGTACTCCTCTAATGAGATATAAGATATAAATGCTACATATATATTCGTGTATATCTTGATATACAAGATATTAATTGTGAATTTGCGAACTCTAGTTGGATACAATTTTAATAATTAATTAAAATTTAAAGATTGCATCTACAGCGTACTATTTATTAATAAATAAAATTATTTAATTATTCGTAGAATAATAATATCAAAAATATCAAAAATAAAGAGTACAATTTCTCATTGATAATTTATATCATTAATTTTGTAAAATTAATATTAACAAAGAATTAAAAAATTTCTTTATCTTTACAACAAAAATTTACGCAAGAGAATACTTACATTTTGTTCAATAACTATAATTCTATCGATAAAATTAAATATATTTTCCAGACATTCGTAATTTTTTCTTGCAAAAATTATTACCACCAGTACAATCAAAATTATGATCTCTTCACGATTCTCAATAAATAAAAATTATGCAACTCTATAACTATAAAATTAAATAATTATATTAATTAAATCCAGAAATAAAAATAAAAAGTAAAAGGAAACTCGTCAAGAACGCAGAGAAACAAAAGAGGCAAAGAAGAAGAAGAAGAAGGAGGAGAAGAAAAAGAAGGAGAAGAAGAAGAAGAAGAAGTCAGTGAGCCTGTTCGAAGAAAACCGATCGATCGACCGGAAGCATCCGTGTATCGAACAGCCTTATTCATTCATCAGTGTCCATCAGAAAATATTAACAGCATCAAACGGAATAGCCTAAGACACGATACACGGTAAATTGAATCATTCACTTCGATGATCAGACCGCGACAACACATAAGCATTAAGGGGTTAAGGTCCAACAAAGAGAACTCGAGCGAAACGGGCAGAGCAATTTGAGATGGTTTCTCTCCCGGCCGTCTCGTTTATTTTCCGCTCACCTGTTTTCAACGAAAAAGAAAAAGAAAAAGAAAGAGAAAGGACAAGAAAAAGGGCGAAAGAAAACCAAAAGAAACTAGAAAAAAAAAAAAGAAAGAAAAAAAGAAAAAGAAAATACACGAGGGGATGCGCCGAGAAAGAAAACGGTAAATATATGGTGAAGTCAGAAGAGTTGAACGATGGGCGTAATGTGTATCATACATCTGCTAAGTATACATATATATCGTAGTAGTCCCTCTCTGTTGACTTTTTGAAGCCAAAAAAGCGAGCGTGAGAGAGAGAGAGCGCGCGCGCGTGTAAAAGGCACTCAATGAATTAAAAAAAAATATATATATATATACATATATATATATATGGCTTTATGTGTGTGGAGGTAGCACATTTAGACTAGTGAGACGCGTAGAAACTAACATCGGGAGAGAAAGGTAGCGAATGAAGCTTTCTTCCCCCTTCCTTGAGCTTTCTCAGCACCCATATCTCTGCGTCCGAATAGAAGGGAATCCAAAGCACCCTTTTTGTCGCTCTTACGTTTAGCTTTGTATCACAAATGTATCTTTGCGCACCAGCTATCTTATTTTATTTTTCTTTTCTTTTTTTTTCTTTTCTTTTCTTTTCTTTTCTTTTTTTTCTGATTTCCTTTATCCTTTTTTTCTGTTCTTCTTCTTGTTTCTTATTTCTTTCTTTTTTTTATTTGTTTTTAATCACGCTTATTATTACCGCTTCTTCGTCGATCGATCATTCTTTCATTGGTATACACACATATATATATATATATACATAACGTATGTACGTTGATTCGCTTTGGTTTGGTTTGGTGTATGTCTGTTTAGTTCTCTTGGTTCCTTACGTGTCTTCTACGCTTTGATGAAAACGGATTTTTGGCACTTCCCCAGAACCCCCCCGCCGATCTTGTTTCTTTTCAGGAGACTAAAATTAATCGTTCGCGTAACGTGTTTGGTGATGTTCGACGTTGTATCAGGTCAAGATTGAATTGTCTACCTTATTGATTTTTATTGCTTCGGAATACTTGCAATCGGTTACGTGGAAACATGTAAGTGAAGAGGATTTCGAGAAGCGAAGTTTAGAAGAAGGTTTCTTGTCATGTACGATTTCTCAGACTTGTGAAGTTTAGTTCAGATATGAATCAATTTATCTTCGAGTACTATATTTATCCAATCCTATTTACTAACATTCTTAAGTAATAAAAGTTCAATTTTCGTTATTTAAAAAATTGCCTTGTTTTTTATTTCTTATCGTTATTGTTATTATTTAAAAATGAATTATCTATGAATTTAAACAAATTAAAATATTGTAATTTTGAAAAGGAATATTATACCTTATTTTCTTAATTATTTTCACATGACAACAAACTTTTGAAATTTTTAAATAATACATTTTTGACGGGAAATAATTTCCTTTCCATATCATCACCAAACATCGTTAAGTAATGCTTCTGCACTAACGGATTGCAAACGAACAATATGTATTTTTAACGTAATATTCATCTGATATATAATTCTTATACTTCAAGGTATAGACACTACCGTGGTTCATCATCAAGGTCCTCTGATATCGAGCGCAGCCATAATCGGTATTGTGATCGCGGTACTGTTCATTATTATTATCGTGATCGACGTGATTTGCTGTTGCGCGCACAAAACAGGTGAGAATACTTTTTCAAATAAATTTAACGAATTCGTTAATTCATCGAGCAATTTTTTAATAAAAATTAAAAATCTTTTTTGATAAAATATATATATATCAACTTGCATAAAATTATAACATAAATTGAAATTTATAATTTTATATTAAAATACATGAAAATCGCGTAAGTTGCGAAACAAATGCAATTAAAATTACAAATTTAAACCGATACGAAACGATAATATTTAATTTTGCCGAATAATATTAATAAAAACGTAAACCGATTCAATGTAAACTGTGATTTGGAACTGTGAAAACAAACAAAACATAGCAATTTAATAAATATAATTTCAAGCGAAGATGTGAATTTTCACCACAAGTATACCCTATACTTTCGTGACAAATTTATTCGGGATATTTCACCGTGCAGTGATTCAGAACATTAACATAAAATTTTATAATATAATAAATAGAATTCCAATATAAACAAAAGTATAATATAAATTTATTAACAATTGCATCGCAAGTGTAATTAATTTACGAAACGACAAATTTATTCAAGATTTTAACATAAATCTACCTAAAATCACGTCACGATATTACATTGCACGCGTAGCATGAATTTATTAACTCTTGTGCCCCCTCTGAATGTATCTAAAATTGCAAACTGGATTTATATGAAATTACAACGTTAATTTGCTTGATATAGCAGCGTGAATTTATCTGGAATTACTCGCGGCGTAAACTTGTTCCCAAATTGCAACGCAGATTTATCTGAAAGTGCAACTGTGATTCCGCACTAAAATTGCAATGTTAGATTACGCTGAATCGTCACGTAAAGTTTAGCCTGGTTCGAGAAGTAAATTTTATCGAGCAAAGAAAAAAGAGAAAAGAAAAGTAAAGAATATTTCACGGAGAAAGTTTTTTATAATCGACCTAATTACTATTTTTTTTTTTTTTTTTATAAATAATTCCACGATATTTTTATTACAGGAATCATTTACTACGTCTGCGAACGTTCCCGCCGGAAACCAGTGGACGAAGAGGACGCGAAACTTGGCAGGTGAGGCTCATTCCAATCAAATTCTTTCGATAACAAGACACGTAACACACGAGGACATACTCACGATTTTTAGATTGATTTACTCGACATCCTTATATACATTTTACACATACATTATACATATATTTTACATTGTGCTTTGGCAAGTCTTTGGCGCTATATTTACCGTGTCATCGAACTTTCCGCCCACCATCGAACTTCGTACAAGAACCCCGTGGATCTTTTTTCTTTTATCTCCTGCCTGTCGAACGAATTTTCGATTCGAATCGAGATTCCTGAGAGAGCCGTGACTAACGTGCAAATTAGTTTACGGGACGTTGGACGAGTTGGAAGAATAATGTGAATTTGCTTATTTGAATATTCGTGGAATATTGATTTGTTGCAGAGTTATCAAAGTATTAAAAATTTTTATAGTTAAACTCTTAAATTTATTTAAATTTTGTAAATCATTCTCAGATAAATTTATTAAAAATCTAAACAAAAATCTATATCTATATCAAAAATATTTACAAAATAATATTTAAATTGTTTTTATTTCTTAAATATATACTCTAAAAGAGTATATATCTAATTCAAAATATCATATCAATATTAATTTTTCTAAAAATGAATTCATAATATTGAAATTCATAAATTTGAATTATCAAAATTTTGACCATAGTGTTTTTGATTTTATTAATACAGAGGGAATGCCAAACAAAAAACTAAACGAAAGAGTTTTTATAATTCTAACTTAATGAATATTCGACAAATCGAAACCAAGAATTCTTTTTCGCCTTTTTATTAAATCTTCGGAGTTATATATTTGTCCTGCTAAAAATATTCTATGGTTAAATGATCCAGTTAACTCGTTAGAATCTAGCTCGCCATTAGGAGACACTTTGACCCTCTCGCATCTGTCTCTTTTTTTTTTCTTTACCGGTAGTCTTTACGGTTGGCGGTTTCCATTGCCGTATTGCGACCAAAAAATGGCCAATGTCGCCGGGGTCACGGCCATCCAAGACTCGAGTAGTGGAAAAAATACCATTAAATTGGTCAAACACACTGCCATGTAAGAGAGATACATAAATGAAAATCAGTAAGAAGCATGGCCCCTCACGAAGGAGCTCTGACACGGCTTTCTACTTCGCATGATATTTTTTTCTTTTTTTTTTTTTTTTTCATTTGCCTAACGTTAACGTTACTACAGACGTTATTCCTCCTATTTTTATTTATTTTTTTATTTTTCTCGATTCCTCGATGCTGATAAAAATCCTGGAACATCGAATATAATGAAGAATAGCATCTATGAAGACAAAATTGACAATGCCCGTCGATGAAACAAAATTGCAGCATGAAACAAACTTTGTCTTTTTTTCCCGTTTCTTTTTTTTTTATTTTAATATAATTTAATTTGCCGCCAACCACTTTTCGTACAAAAGAACACTATACATTATTAACCATGTTCAATTCATTTAATGCTTACTTTTTTCTCTCTTTTCTCTTTTTTTTCTTCGGCGCGCATTCCATTTCTCTGTTTCTCTATCTCTCTATCTATCTACCTATCTTTATCTTTCTGTCATCCTCTACACGTGTTGCATAAATTATCGTCATTATTCGCCCATGCTTTGGCTATGTTGCATGAGAGATCAACACTCTGAAGTGATATTAATTGCTCGTTAACTACATAGCACACTCACCACCATTCGCTCTAATCCTATTCCATTTGAACCGTGAAAGTAGGTAATTCAATTCCATTGCCTTGTTAAAAAGGTTAATACGAAAATCGAAATATTTTTTACTCGATTAAAAATATAATCTAAGTATAAATATACTCTAAGGTCTACAAATATTTTAATGATTGAACATTTTATTATACACACTTACCTTTTCATGAATGTTTTTTACCACGCAAATTTCTTTCGTACTGCAACATTTATACATAGCCCAAGTTCAATTATTCGTTCACATCTTATTACATAAAATACGCCAAGATGAAAAGAAATATAGGAATCCCTATTGCAAATACACAATACTAACGAGTAATGGCATGCATTATGCGTATTATTCAATGTTGCACCACGCGTCGCATTTCAACATGCTCTTTTATGCCCAATACTAGAAGTAACCGTAAAAAAGCACTTGACAAATCGTTTTCTATTAATAACCGTGAATTTCTATTGAAACATTTTAGAGACGAAAAGGAGCCACTGAAGGAAGAGAAGAAAATCACACCGATCATCGACTCGGGCCTGCGTCGGGAGACATCTATCACGTTTGACGGGAAGAGATCCGTTTCAAAGACCGGTTTCGTCGGAAAGGATTCAGCTGTCTAGATATTCTTCCGGCGTACTAGATTGTAAATCATCGTGGAAACATTACTCCTGGCCAAGTGTTCTCGAATAACACAAAAATAGCCCGTACATCCCGAAACATACACGTAGGGAACAGAATTTTGCACTTGTCAAAAATCTTCTCCTTTGACGAATTCGAATTTTGATTCACGATTCTATTCGGGATATTGCGCAAGGACGTAAAGTACTGAGATGTTAAAAGCGACATCTCGTCCTGTTTCATAAATGAGACACCATGCGCCATCTGACCGCGATCGAACAATACAAAATCGTATTCGACTGCTTCATTCGCGGAATATCCAATGAGCGACGCGATAATTCGCGCGTACATTCTTGTCCCTTCTTCTTGAGGGTACGATAAAACGATCTTAGCATTTATTCATAAGTCTGCACTTTATCAATTTTTCTCGATACAAAATTATCTGCACATACATTTTTCACAAGTCTTGATAGTTCTGTATTTATAAGAAAAATAAATCTTTTTCTTTTTCCCCTTTCCCTCACCGATGTAATCATCAAAGTGTAACAGAGAGACACATATGTAGTTTACGATTTATAGTAAAATACATAATTCGTTTTGTGTTTGGGGAAAAAGAAAAAATTATCGATGTAATGTAACGTAGCAAATATTGCAAGGAGAAATTAGATAAATCGCTTATACAAAAAGAGAATGTACAAAATTAATCGCGAAATTGGTAGAAGTTGGTCGATAATTAGTGATCATTGCTTCGAGGCACTCTCTAGATAACTGCAGTCTAGTACGCTGGGTAGTACTGTGTTATCATGTGCACAGCACGAAACTAAAAAGGTACATTTGACTTATTCCATATCGTTTCTTCTACGTTAATAGATAGAACATCATAGTTAATAGAAATAAAATCCGAGATTTTAAAAAGTTGGCGAACGAAGTGGGAACGAGTGGAATAGATTTTCTCTCTCTCTCTTTAAATGAGATTCATCATTTTATATGGTGTATCTTCGATCTGTGTACATATATAAAGTTATCATATTTCTTCGACATGTTCCATTCATGTATGTTTTTTTTTAATTAGAAGTCATATTACATGGTCCGCAAAGCATTTCATTTTTTTTTTATATTTGTCTTTAAACGACGAATTATCAATTTCGTGATTATATATGACTTAATTTCAAAGACTGATTCGTTTAAGCGCGAAACTTCATGAAAATAAATTGTACCGGTTATCATTGAGAATTAAATAACTCAGTAATAATAATAAATAATTTTCGCTTTAATTCGTCGTTTATATCTTTTGACAAGATTTATTATTAGTATGTGTTTCCTCTAGCTGTAAACAATGTTTTTACAAAAATATCTATCGCTCAGTTTTTGGGTATGATTATACTATTGTCTTGCCGTATCAATCATGATTGACGTATTGGTTATCTGCCATGCGTTTATTCACGGTTAGTTAATATTTTTATCTTTTATTTCGAGATACTTTTTACGTGGATATTTCTTTTTATATCCTTGATTTAATTTATCGCGATAGTTTTTACCATGTACATTTTATAATATAAAGATTACATCGTTGAGGCGTCGTATGCAAGAGCAGCCCTAGTATCTCTTTACTATTTTTACATTTCCATTATTAGTACTTTACGTATCCTATGTAGTTACCTTTAGAAAGAAAGTAATCTAAGAGAACTAGGCAGCTATTGTGATCGAATTCTAATCGATAAAATTGTGTATTATCACGATCGTATTATCGATGCAATTAGAGAACAGTATACTTAAAAAACTGTAAAATACGAAAATTAAAGGAAGATTTCAAAAGAATATTGCATTCGATATATCGATCGCGATACCGTTTTAATAAGTCCTCAAATGTATCTTTCGACAAATTAAGTCTCTCTAATATATATGTATAGTATAATCAAAGCAGCGATATCTTTGATAAATTAAACATACATTGAACTTTTCTCGCTTTGAATACTAAATCATAATACTTGCTAATTGTAACAAAGATCCAGATTTTTTTGTTAAGAGCAAGTTATTCAAAAAAAAAAAAAAAAAAAAAAAAAAAAATCAATCGAAAGCTGCCATATAAATATATATATATATATTATTTTATTCGATAACAAAATAATACCATTTTTGTCCTAATGTGTAAGATGGCTTTTCAAGAAAATGCAGTTAAAATGTGATAAGTTTTTGTAAATGCTTGTAAACGTTTTTCCTAAACTTTAAGAAATATTGGAAATAAGTTTAGAAAAGTTTGGTAAGATTAGAATGTTGTATGCGAGGTTGGAAGGTGTGTTCGCAAAACAAAAGAGAAACAAAAAGACTAGTAAATATGAATTGCAAAAAATAATTAATCGTGTGTATATTTATTTAAGAAAGTTATACCTTTACCTATAAAAAAAAGTAAATTAAAAATCATCCTTACTTGCGAACACACTTTCTGCATTGGTAGCTTTTTTACGTACCGTAAACACAGAGTTTTGCCAAATATATAGTACTTATTAGCTTATAAGTCAACGAGTACACATTATACACGAGAAATATATATATATTCGAAAAAAAAGAAAAAAATGAAGGATTGTTCATTGTAATCGTTATACAGTATTTAATTCCTCATTGAGTCAAAAATTGGCATTTTGATGAGAAGGAAAAGACATGTTTCTATCTAGCTATTTTAAATTCGTTGCCAAAATCCGTAACCCAAGTAGCTTCCCTCGAAAAGTATTATTGCGCATCTTCCAATTTAAAAAATATTACAAATATTATTAAAGTTCGTAGGTATAAGGCATATTTTTTATGTATGCTTTTTCTGTACGCGTCAAGGAAACGTACTCGACTAATAAAGGATAAAAAACATTTTTAAGGTCAAATGATTCACGTCTGAACATTTTTTTTATTCCATTTTTTTTAACGTAAAAATTTTATTTATTCGAGCACTATTTCTTCTTTATATTTTTAAAAATTAACGCGTATTTTGTGGTATAAAATAAAAGGAACTCGTACTAATAGGCGCGTTAAAAGTATAAAAAGCGATCGATTTATAGATTAAAATAAAGCTTAAAAATATGTCATTCAGGCCACCATGTTATCATGCATTAATAAACATATTCTATCTAAAATTCATTGGTATCATGTATATCTATAATATCCTTATCGAATATGTAATTATAAGCTATTACCTGTCATGGCACTGCATTTTTTCTTATTTTAAAAATATGTAGCTGAATGTTAATGAAAAATGTATATAAAATTTATTTTTTTTTTATAACATAGCGAACGTAATAATATTTACTTTTGCAATATTTTTATGTATCTAACCTTGCAGGCTCTTTTAATTGCAATATATACTACAATCTAATATTATTATCACACTTCAATCCCTATATTCGAATGTTTACCTTTCTTTATTAACATTTGTTCCACATTTAATTGCGGCGGTTCTGTTCGTGTATGCCATACATACACCTAACAAACAAAAACGGAATTACTTAATTTACACAAGAAATAAAGAATTTAAAAATTAACAAGTTAAAAGTACCTTTGTACAACAATCTGCTAATGGTTCCAATTCCTTTCTAGTGATGATTTGAGACAAAATTTCACTTTCCTGATATCCACCTTGAACGTCATATGAAAAAACAGCATTTTTATTTTCTAATAAAAGTTGCAAATTGATTGCAAAACCTGCCATATCCAATGGGAATGGACGATCTGGCTTCCAGGCAGCATTAAAACCAATTATTGTATTAGTCATATTATCACATATCGGTTTCTCAACCATTAAACCACCAACTAAACCCACTGGCCAAACGCCGACTTTATTTATTTTTTCCATCTGGAACATATCTAGATTATATAATGATTTCGTGATTAAAATAATCGCTCGATATATATCATTAATGTTCTTACCTCGTGAAATAATTTAATCGAATACGTATTGTCATCATCTGCAAAATATACTATTCCTTTGTCAGTCAATTTAAGATTTTCTCGAAGCCATCGTAATGCCGCATTTCGTTGTTCGACTCCACGCGGCTTTTTCCAATTCGGATCGTTTCGACCTAATTTATAATTAGGTGGAGTTACTGCAGATAAATGCGTATAAATTAAACCACTATTTTCTAAAAATCGTGTAACAAGATTGGTCTTTCTTTCCGCATCTTCGACAACGATCCAATGAAAATTTGGTATATGCAAAAACGTCTGTGATAATCGCGTTAGTTCAGCTTTTTGTACAGGTCTGGTAAATGTGGGAGTGATGGCATAAATAGTAGGTTTCTTTGTGAGATCCTGTTTTCCTCCATTGAGCATATTATGTCCCTCTAATCTCTTAATTACACTATATGTTAACCCATATATATCTCGTTGTTCAACAATTATTGACTCCAGCGTGTTTCTTAATTCTTGCCATTTATAACGCTCTTGATAATCTTTGAAACAGAAATATAAAAATTATAATAATATAAATTATAACAAATGAATAAATAATTTATAATTTTAATAAAATTGCAAGACAGTAATTTCAAATACTCAAATACATCTAATTAATTGAATGATAAAGCTTGTTCGGAAAAAAAAGGAGAAAATTCATAATACAAAAAACAAATTAAGATAACTTATAGAAGAAATTTATTTGAATAAATTATAATGAGCATGCGTAAAAATTATGACAAGAAACATATGATATAGGTCATGCATTTTTACATGCATGGAAACTAGATTTGTTAGAAAAGCTGTAATGAACACTATGTGATATCAACAAATACTTACATATAAAACATTGAAATGCAATAACATGAATCAGGAACAATATTAGGAAGCCCCTGTTATAACGAAATCCACCCCACATATTAAATTTAGTACCGAATTCGTCGGTCAGAAATGTACGTTCTGTCATTATGTCACGCCATGACACTCTGATGATATTCTTCTACAATCACCGATTGTATTTAACTAGTAATAATCTTCTATAGATTTATAATATATTCTAACCTCGAATACAAGGACATATTATATGTCATCTCATAATATCGAATATTAATTGAAAAGTAATCACAACATCCAACTGTATGTATGTATTACTAACAGTTTAATTATAGCTGCGACTGAAATTGTAAAATAATAATGTTTTATTCACACAAAATTCACTTATAATTTTCATAGATGAATTACGAATACAAGATGAAAATTTTTTCCTGATCATTATAAACTTCACAGAGTATAATTTCATAAATAAAAAATAGACGAGTTTACGCGACAGGTAAAGATGACAGGTTAGTTTTTTTTACACGAAAAAGTCCCTAGATTATATCTAATTCGTAACTTGCATAGAATTCTTGGCGGCAAATTTTAAATAAAAATACTCATAATATATTTTATTAACACGAAGAAAAAAGTAATAGTAAATAATATATGAATAATTTTAACAAAAAAAAAAAAAAAAAATTATAATATATTCTAAAATATGTTAATGATTATCAATATTAATATTTTATAAAAAATCTTTCTTCTTCTAATACATTTAATAAAACTTTCCTGCCAAATACGAAAAATTTCTGACATCAATAATTAAAAAGTATTTTTGCTGATTTTTACCTATTTATCTTTTTCTTCTCGAAAAGATAAATTCCCTAGTCGACGCATCGAAAGCAGCGACACCGACTATAGTCGAATGAATTCAGACGCGTGCGATACGAGGCGCGCGTAGAAGGGCGCATGCTGGGATGTGTCACGGACACGCGTGTGTCACGATCGCGCATACATTTATGTCGTGACTGGCCAGAAGGCGCCGTGGCGGGACGAAAGGGGGCGGCATTCGAGGCTTAGGAGAGCAGACAGGCGCGTAGATAGGCCAGCTCACGGTGGAGTTTCCGCAGCGAGCTACGGAATCATCCCATGCTCATAGGTCGCCGCGTGTTGCTCGCGTTCAGAGAGTTCCTCGTCGATGGTCACGCGATGTGTCAACGCGAATAGTGACCGTCAGAGCCAACACTTGACAACGCCACTCGATCGTAACTCGTTCGAATATGATGGTGCAATGAATTCTTACGGAGTTTAATCGCACGACAGCTTCTATAGATAAAGAAAATCCCGCGTAACTCCGTTTGCAAACTGGTTGTCAGTATCGAGACGACACGACGAGCTGCTGTGCCTGCTACTCGTGGTGGCGAGTGGCAGTGGTAGTGGTGGTCGTAGCGGTAGTGGTGGTTTCCTATCGTGGTGGTGTCCGTTGGCAGTCGAGAATCGTATCGTGGTGGTGGTGGTGGTAGTGGTGGTGCTGTCAGAGTAGTGCTGCGCCTCGTTCGACGACGGTGGCGAGGGAGAGAAGGAAAAGTGGCCCTCGAGGTTACGAGGCCAGAGGAGAAAGTGGGTGTTGCCGGAGTGACAACGGGAGGATCATCCGGGTCCTCGACGCCAGGACTCGTGGAACAGAGGAATCGGTGTGTAGGATGCTCGTCGGTCATCGCTCTAGGAGTCGACGTCTCCTAACCGAGAGCCTGATCCTTGATCGTGTGCCTCGTGAGTATCAATGATTTTCTTCGAGGACACACATTTCTTTCCAACGTGTAAATTTCTTATCATATCTATAGCTCGATAGCTGACTAGATATCGCTTCTATCCACGATTGTTCTTCCATTATTTAAATTAAATTCTAAATAAAATAATTTCATCATCATTCGTGATTGTCATAATAAATACTACGCGTATATCCATCAATAAGATTGTTTAGTTTCCCTCGACAATTTCACAAGAGACATTTAGTTCGACGACTACGAAGGAAATAGAGGTCGGATGCAAATTACGAGCGTGGACGAGGTGGTGCGAGCGATGGGCACGGTAATTGGGGCGAGGGGACGCTGGCTCCGGTGGGCGAGGGGGAGCGAGGATGCGTTGGATACTTCCCCCTTTTGCATCCTCTTCCTCGTTTACACCATCTCCCCTTTCTCCCGCAGCAATCCTCCTTCTTTCTCTTCGCTCGCGTTTTTCGTTCTTCTTCTTCTTCCCAACCCCCGCCCTCGCAGTCGGTTCTGTAAACAGGAGTCACTGGCGCGTGAAGTACATGGGCGTAGGTAAAACTCGACTCCACCGGTGCGTCGAGATTTTTTTTTTTTTTTTTTTTTTTTTTTTTTTNACGTAACGAGGGACGGTGGTGTTATCGTGCACAACGATGACTCTGGTGCGGTGCCCTTTCCGCTTCACTTTCCGCGTGCCACCTCCGCGGCCCTCGTCTCATTGGATAACAGTGGTATACACGAATACCAGAAATAATACTCGAGGCTCGTCGACCGGCCGAGTAGTCGAGAACATCCCCCCATCCCCCTTCGTTTCGTTCTTTTCCCAGTAGTGTGCACTGGCCTCGATTAGTTTTCGCTTAGAGAGAGAAAGAATTGTGACCGGATTATTCTTTTTCCCTTTCTCTATCTACCTCTCTCTCTCTCTCTCTCTCTCTCTCTCTGTCTTTCTTCCTTCCTCCTTTTTCTCTTTTTTAAGGGTAGCATAGAGGGGAGAACGGAAGGGGTGCGCTAACGACGTCACCGTGTCGAGTGAGTCACGGCTTCTAAATTGATCCCCCACCATAGTTGCTCTTCCTCCTCTTCCTCCTCTTGTGTCCCCTACTTCCTCTTGCTTTTACTCCACCTATTCCAGCTTTTTCCTCTCTCTCTCTCTTTCTCTCTTTTTCCCATCCTCATCCTATCGCTCGACCAGCATCACTCTATCCTTTTCCGACCATCCATCTCGTTTCACTTCATCCCCATCAACGAAGCGGAGCGCGTTGATTTAATCCCCAACGATGCAACGTGCCCTCCGATTTACGCGACGAGTAAATATGCCCGGCCAAGAGGGAATGATCGTGGCCGAGGTCGTTCTCCATCGGGCAACGTGCCTCCTAACTCACGCTCGTTCAATAATTTCGCAAGGTTACGGAGGAACTGCCGATAACACGCGGACGGTTTCGCAAGAATGATCGATCTCTTCGATTCCGGGTTGGAGTCAACCACGGGACAGTCATACTAACGACGATATTTCCGACCTCTTGTGCTCGTTGATAGTTAAGTTTACTTGTTATCCCGCATATTCCGGAGTCAAGACCAGATAAGATTAAATCGTGGATGATATTGCGTGATGACGTTGTACGTGTACTTGTCTCGTTATCGGGTGATAACGAATAATTGAAAATGGGGTACAAATTGAGAGGGATTTCCTTTGGAAATTTCGCATTAATTGCGTAGATATGTAATATTAACGTTACTAAAATATATATATATATGTATGTTTTGTTTCTTATTCGTTGAACGTTTGTTAAATATAGCCGTATTTGCAATGCAAATGGTCTCGTTAATGCATAAGAAATAAAAGTTCGTTTGATCGGGATCTTTGACTGGTAAAGAACACGAAAAGCTGACGTTTAACGTGTTGAGAATGATTTAAGAGCAGATTGGTTATCGTTGAATTTATGATTGAATTAGTCGAGGTTTAGATTTAAAAGTGATTTAATGAATGGGCATTGCACGAAAACTTTGGATTTAAAGTAGAAAATTATTGAATATGTTTAAATAAACGTTCTTTTACCTTACGATTTCTTTAATGGGCAGTTTAATAAAAGGTGTTCGTTATTATATCAGGAATTGTAATATTGAGATATTACACGTAATTTGTATGTGATAATCTTCTATTTGCAGAGCCTACATAAAGTTAGAGAATAGTTAGAGAATAGACTTTGTTGCGAGTAAGACTTGAAATTATTGGATCGAAACTTCTTGATCTATCATAAATTATTCTGTTACGAAATGCTTTTTAACAAGAATAATTGATGATAATTGTTTCAAAATAGATTTATACATTTTCTGATTGTCATTATATACTAGAGAAAGAAAATTATATAACGATATTTATTTTGTATAATTGTGGAAAAATACTAAAGATGTTTATTTATTATAAAATAATAAGATAATAAATAAACTCTTTAGAGAATGTAATCTCTTATGGAGAATTTCTCATAAAAATTTGGATAATTTAAACAAAAAAATTTACCAAAATATTTCTTTAGAAATATATGTAATGATAATTGGCAACGGATTTTGCAAAAATATAATGAAATAAAATTTTACATCGTGTATACGATATCAATTCTTTTTTACTTTCAATCCATTATAAAGTCACTTCTCATTCCCCTCAATATGCTTTTTGCATGACATAACGTATCTTTAAATCTTGCAGCTTTTAGAGGCAACGAGTTCTTTCCTATTAGTGCTTTATTTTTCATAATTTTTAATAATCTATCAGAATTTCCATCTTTTTACAAGTGAAACATCCTCTTCGTTCCTTATTTTAATCTTTTCAATTCTGACGAACCACAAATTATAATATCTCCTAATTTTACAATCATTACTAATATATTTGCTGTGTGTGATAAGATTAAATAATAATCCATATCACATATTTAACTCGTTACGTTACGAGCATAATTTATACCATCAATGAATCGCATCACGTTTAAAAAGAGAGAATACTAGATTCCACAAGCTCTCTTGTATCAACCAAAAGAGAACGTTTCATGCACTCTTCAAGGAAGTAAATATTTCCCATTACCCCGGTTTTTCAATCCAGTCAGAGAGAGAGAGAGAGAGAGAGAGAGAGAGAGAGAGAGAGAGAGAGAGAGAGAGAAAGAGAAAACGAACCAACGGTTTTGCGTTTCCGAGCATTTCCCCGGTTTCTCGTTTGCCCGGAACACAATTCACGGATTCCAACCCCCTACCCTGTTTAAGTTACGTTTTAATGTAAACCCTGTGTGTTCCCTTTTGACCCGAACCCCATCCATCCATGCGCCGGCTGTTTTCTCATTAAGGAATGGAAAAGTATCTTACAGCGTATATACACAACGTGAAAATAAGAAAGAAAGAAAGAAAGAAAGAAAGAAAGAAAGAAAAAAAAAAGAAGAAAAAAAGGAAAAGAAAGAAAACGAAACCTCGCCACGTCACAGCCACGATTCATTACTAGACAACTCGCTGAGCGGCCATTCGTGACAATATGACGGGATGAATATCACGGAAATATCGGGGAACGCTTGGGCGGCCAGAGAGGAATCCATTATCGAGCCTTAGTATCTCTCCTCTATCCATTTGTCCGCCGGTTCTTTATTTCTTTCCCGATGATGCTTTATTAGCGTCTCGTTTCCACGGGATGAATAGCTGTTCCGGTGGTGGTGGTTGGTGGCGCGACTGGTAGGGGTTGAAAATCGTCGTCAGCTCGCGAATTCAATGGCCGCGAGCGCCGCGAGTCCCGGTAATTTCTTCTCTTCGCGGATTAAACGATCGTCGATCGTCGAGATTGCATTTCGCTGATAGAGGGAGAGGGAGAGGGAGGGAAGGAGAGAGAGAGGGAGAGAGGGAGAAGGGGTTCTCGTAAAACGCGCCACCCTGACATTTTCTACGCTCGTCCCTGGAAAAGGTCACCGAATGTGGAGCAACTTTTGAGCGGACAGATCGAGCGTTCTCGTGGGAACAGCGGGAGAGAGAGAGAGAGAGAGAGAGAGAGAGAGAGAAGAGAAAGAAAGCCTTGGTTATAATATACAGGGTGTCTCAGATACGAGTGGTACAAGATGGATTCTGCATGAAAAATTGAATTGGAAATAAAGAATACAATTTTTTTTGCTCAAAACTTCGTTTTTCGTGTAAATCGAGCTTGAAGAATGCTCGAGCAGTGAGTGAATTTGGTTAATTTTTGATTAAATATGAATAAAGAGGATTGATTTGATGATAAATAAACAATATATGCTTCAAGAAAATTTTCGATCAGATTTCGAATTTTCTGTAGAAAAATATAAATAATTCGAATATTCGAAAAGTAAAAAAGTAAAATAGATGCGATTTTGTTGAACAGATTCAATTAAATTATAAATCTACACTGATCAATAAAATATTTCCAGCACTGTCTAGAATCTGTGCATAAATTATTCTATGTACCTCGTATGTGAAAAAAAAAATAAAAAGTAGATTAAAATTTTGTTATTTAAACCTATTCTAAAAAACATCAAGGAATAATCGGATATTCAAATTGGGGAATTAACCAACTTGCACTTGAAAATATTTCGATCTTGTTTTATTTAGGAACAAAGTTTCGAGCGAGCAAATTTTATTCCTTTTTTTTCGATTTTTTTTGCGTCCAGAATCTGAAACACCCTGTATACAATCTTTTTTTTTCGCATAAGGGTGAGTTTGACAGGCGCGAAATCGACGGCCTGGAACGGGAAAGCTCGCTTCATCGAATTAGCAACGACGGAAGCGTCGTGCTCGCTGGCTCGATGAAATTAATTAGGCGGTCATCAGGGTAGAACGTTTTTCGATTGATCTAACGCGGTCGAGGATCGAATGGTTTTTTGAGGATGAAATGGTTTTTGAAACGAGATGATTGGATCAGGGCCAGGTCGTTTCCCGACTCGTAATATCGAGTCCCCGGCATTACGTATAGAATTGAATTTCATGTCTTATGTCGCGTTTCAAGGTTGTTTTCCAATGCCA